AAAAATTTTTTTTTTTTTTTTTTTTTTTTTTTTTTTTTTTTTTGCAGCTGACTCCCTGCAAACCTTCGAGCAAAATTCATTCCTTATCAGGCTGCCACAAAGCAGTCTATAGACTGTTCATTTTGCCCAGCAGATCAGCAGTTAAACTTCTACCCTGTTGGGCAGAAAGGTAGGAAGGGTGGATTTGTTGCAGATGACTTGGCTGAGATACAGTGCCACTACCCAGCTGTTTCTCAAGCTCCTGATATCCCTTACCGCAGTTAGGTGTTCAGAGCCTGCAATGCAGGTAGTAATTTTGAAGCAGTCTTGCATTGGTTGTGAAGACTGTGGCCTTCATAGAGGGTGGCCAGAGGAGGAGACGGCTCAGCTGTGGTGGTCCATTCTGTGAATGATGTGCAGAAGGCAGAGGAATGGTGGGACATTCAGGGACCTGTGCATATACTTTTGCTTCAGCTGCTCTGCTGTTAAATCCGTGATAGGGGTCACCATACAAGAGACATGCTGCCTGCTTTCCTGAGGTGGCAACGTGGAGTTGAGAGAGCTGGGTCTGGCCTTCACTTGCTGTTCTCCTGGCACCTATTTCTGCTGGGAGCAGCTGGCTGGATGGCAGCTGGCTCTGAAACTTGCCACTGGGTCTTGCCTGAGCCATGAGTCTCGGGGCCCAAGGATTGACATTTAATCTGCCTCTGCTTTAAAATAGTTAGAAGAATTCAAGGTCTGATCTTCTCAAAGATTTAAAGATGGAGCTATGTGGCCAGTTGTCTAATACTGACTACAAGTGGTTGTAGGATAAACTGTATTCCACCTGGGAGTTGCGATTCCCAGTCATTAGCCATTGTAGTAGACCTGTCATGCAGCATTTGGTGGGTTATACTCTTCCTGTATTTTATTCCTCAGCTGAACTCCTAGTTATCTCCTCTGGAGTTCTTCAGCAATTTAAAAAAAAAAAAAAAAAAAAAGCTAACTCTCAGGTAAGAAAATGAGTATGGAGTTTTTGGCATTTCTGGGACTCACCTGAATCACAGCAAAGATGAGAGGTATTAAGGCTCATTGCAGAATCATATTTAGACTATATCTCTACAAATAGTGGGATATCTGTAGCAGGATAAGATTTAGGAGCAGGTGACTCATCCATTTGATTCTCTTTGTCCTTAATCCCATAAAACCACCAACAAGGAACAAACTCCTCTTCTTATAAGCCATCTCACTGGATATAAAATGTCTCCTGTTCAAGGTTGTGACTTTTGGTAGCTCAGTGGTACCTGAAAGCTGAAGAGCTATTTCAGATTTTGAGCAGTAGTTGCCAGTACAGCTCAAACAGCTCCAAGTATAACCTTTTGTTTGTGCTGGCAAACCTTTATTTTTTGCCTTGTTCTCTATCTTATGCTGCTTTAATTTTTATTTTCTCTTTGGCCTATGTTTATCTCTCTGTCGTTCTGCATGTGACCTTTGGGCTATGCAACAAAATGCTTGCTGATTATCTTGTATGTTGTTTTAGTACCATGAAATGACACATGCTAAATGCTCCATTGCTTTGTGTTTTTTGTATACCTCCAGGGATGGTGACTCAACCGCTTCCCTGGGCAGCCTGTTCCAATGCCTGACAACCCTTTCAGTAAAGAATTTTTTTATAATATCCAATCTACCCTCCACCCCCTCCCTGA